TATCGATTGCGCTTGATTTAATTGATGTACCAAGCAAAATACGTAAAAAATCATATTGACTTACCTCGATCAATCAAAACTGAGTACTTACAACAATCAATTTTCAAATCACGTTTATATTCAGTGACCAATCCATAGTAAGTATCCATCCAGTATCCATAGTGAGTGAGTAATCCATTAGTGTTCAACTGGGTGTTTACGATGGTGCGGCTTATTGCCCAAGTATAGCTACAAAACACAGAAACCTCTTTCTGTGTTCTGTGAACATAACTTTTGCCTATAGCCAGGTCAAGTTGCTTAAAACTATAAAATTTCTCCAATTGTTTTAATCATTATCTGATTCACGCAATGGATTATGAAAATTTTACGTTTTGCCATAACTCTATGCATTGCCAGCACATTTAGGCCCCGTTAAGTTTTAAATTACTTAGAGGTCGTTAGACGTCAAATCTACTCTGCAAATGTTTTAAATGAAAGTGTATGATCGATGGGGTTTAAATGATAATGATACGGTCAAAGGAAAATATAGATATCAGAGAACCGACAAAAATACGTGAAAGTGAAACAACACACGCCCTTGACATTTATAACTTGTGTGGTTGAATAAGTCACTAATAGGTTTTAGTTTTTTGTCTAAGACGAAAATCAATAAATCTTTCCAACTACAGCATTTTTAACTTCAGGAGGAAGTACGTATCTCGTAGATAGAAAATAATAAATGAAGCCGGATATTTCCAGCACGCAAGAATCATATAATACAGGCGATACAGGATTCCGCCGATGCGATGCGTCGTCAAAGCGCGTAGATAATTGCGCACACGTCGACTTATCGGCCGAGATGCCGCGAAGGCGTGCCGCAGCCGAGCCGTAGAGAATCGCCGCTAAAACAGAACATCAACGCTAGATGCTAACGATAACAATATAAATGCTGGACGCCGAAGAGAAAGCCTTAGATAAGTATAGAATCCTTGGTACGTTACGTGCCTTGTGGAAAGCTCTGTTCTGAGTTCAAATAATGTTTACTCGATTAGAATTTTATAGATTGAAATAGGTAGTTAATATAATTATTGAATAAGTACGTATGTATGTACTTATTCAATAATTATAGCCGTGTCTTTGCAAGCATGTGCTTGCAAATACACGCCTGTACTGTACTGCGACAGGTAGATCTAGAGACTATAACATACTACTCTACTACTCTCTAGAATACAAAAAAACATACCTATTAGTACATAATCTCTGCGGCAATAGTCTAGCATTCGGCAAATTCGGCAATTAGCAACCTTGACTGTGAAACTCACGGTCGCGAATTCGTACTCAACCAAGGTTTTTTTTTTTGCTTTTTTAGTGAACATTTACTATAACATACTTGTGTCAAAGACGTTAAAAACTTAAGTAAGTTGATCCGTCATCTTTTTAGCTTATATTTTAGAGTTATCAGACTATGGAGTCCCCAAAATAATCAAGAATATTAATATCAAATCAAGAAGAATATAAATAATCAAGAAGACATGGCAAGACTAAACCAAAAGCAGAAGACAAAACAAATAAATGTTTACTTACAGTACTAAAGTCACAAAAAAAGAAGAATCAAAACCACGCAGTTACAGTAGGTATAGACTACAAAAAAATTCAAACGGTCCTGGTATCAGGCTGGAAACAATCCAAAGTATTCATCGCTATTGACCTTAACAGCCCTGTCGAATTTTGTTTAGCTATAAATATCTACCAGTTTCAAAATAATGAAACTACAGTACGTTTATTTAACTTTGACATATTCCCATCGTAGTACAACTCTTTGGACTGACGTGAACTTCATAGTTCGGTTTCTTGTTCTAACTTTCTCTCATATTATCAGTATTGTCTGGATTTAAATGAAAATTTACAATAATGTTGAACATTCTCTTATCATAAGACCCTACTAGATTTGTTCTTATTTTTTTTTATTAATTTTACCTCTGCCTCAGGGTACTTCAATACTCGTTAGTTGAAATACACAAAGAAACATTCTCATAGTTCACAAAGCAATGGTGGTAAGTAACTATTATTTACACCGACAGAAACCAGAAATAGCTTGTATAATAGCAATAAATGTTTCTCAGAAATTATAGACGTGCGTCTTATATACACGTTGTTTTTTAGAATTGGTTGACTATACCAGTAGCCGCAAATATTTCTATATTATTTAATTTCATCAATTCTCATCTCTTCAAGAAATGGGCTTACTAAACTATGAACAAATTAATCTTTAAGAGATAGACTAGCTCATTACACTGTAGTAATTACTTACACAAAGTTACCTGGGGCAGCAAGCGCCTATCCCTTTCTAGAACAACAACAGAGCCGTACAAAGGAACGTGACAAACCGATCTAGATAAGCCGCGTATCAGATGAGATCGAGATCAAAATGCGGTTAAGATATTAGTATTAACAAACGTCTCATTATTTATTGCGCTTTATTAGCTACGTTGTGAGTAACAAGCTGCGTTTATTAGTTCTAGAATACTAAGCTATGGTTGCATAATTTCTCTTATATAGCCGAGTGCATAACAGTACTCTTAAGGTTATTTTCTACATTTATAGCAAACTTTATTTGAAATAAATAAATTGATGACATGTTTAATTAGTGATGACACATTTGCACATATTCCCATCTTCGTATAATAAAAGGCTAATTGGTGTGAATGTTAGAAATATTTATTTATTTAATAATTATCTACTAATATAATGAAATTAAGTAAATTCGAGGAAATCAGGGAGTTTTTTTCTTACTGTGTAATATGGTTATTACCACCACAAAGTACGTAATCAGCCGCGCTAATGCTTTAACTGATGTGGTCACACAAGATATCTAGAAAACAATCTAATGTTTCACTACGTCTACTCTGAAATGCGACGGCGGTATAAAACCATCCAATAAAAGATAGTTGTTATTTGTAAAAAGGCACATATTTAAATGATCATCATAAAACAGTAATTGATCCTCAAAAAGATACAATAGTTAAACTAGCCCAACCTTTAGGTTACCAAATGTATTTTTAGGTGAGCATTTGTTATTCTTTTGACAATCATTAAGACATTTCCCTCTAAAAAAATATTGCTTTTGGAAGTTACAGCAAATTTTTTTATCGTTAAATAAAACAATAGATACATTTAAATAACAAAAACTTAAAAACTACTTGATGTATAAAATTTACAGTCCAAATTACCTTAACCTACTAAAATAATATATAACCTATAAAATTTTCCCAGTCAAATCCTTCTTAAAGATAAAAAAATATCATTCATGGCACAGAGTAGCAAAGAAATAAAGAAAATATTCATCATCACTGAAAACATAAATAAAGTAAATATTTTAACCACATTTTTTTGGTCACTATATTTTTTTGAAACTACTATATTTCATAGAAAAAAAGTTGGTAACCCTACTTCCAAGGAATGAGCGTCATACTGTCAGGTCTCTTGCCATCTTTTAAATTAGTTTTAGATATTGTAAATAGCTTTGCTCTATTCGGTAAACACTCGGGCAGAAAGAAGTTACATACACAATAAATGTAATCTATCTCTCCTGAATTAAAACCATTCGATGTTTAGAACCAATAAACAACGTACTTATGAGAATCGAACCTATAAAACTTGATTTCAGCGAGCCTCTAGTGACATAAGTTATAATTATAAATGGTAGAAGTCAATGGCATAGCTATAAATACACGTGCTCTGGGAATATTACGCTTATTTGTGCATAATAAAGCATAAATTTAAAATTATCATCACGGGTGAATCTTGATCGTACCACATACCGTACATAAGGGGATCGTCATTTCAAAATGCATTAATAAGAATACCTCGAGCAACGGCTTTACAATAGATACATTTCAACTCATTAATTGTTATTATTTAATTGCGCAAGTTATCTATGAGTCATAAAAACAAAAACAGACTGATTGACAGACCAACGCATAGACAAAAACGCTAGGCTAGTCTAAATTGATAGGTGTAAAATTTTGTGATATAAAAATCCAAAGCTCATACAGTTCTTAATTATGTCTCAATATTTCTTAAAGAGAGAGAAAGGCGGGGTTTGGTTTAGATTTGATTATTAAAAAGTCCGTGATGGTGGGTCTTGATATATCGTTTTCAATACTAGAACAGTTACAACTTAAATGCTAAAAATTGGGCGACATAATGCAGTTTTAGGCGATTTGTATTGGCGGTAAAATTGATCCCACCAAAAACATGTTCATCTAAAGTGTTGCCAAGACGAGACCATATGACTCGGAAGTTATCAGATCTCATGTAAAGCCAAGCTACTAACTCTACATGCCCTAACTCTACAAGGCCTTACTTCACAAACTCTATACCTTAGTCAAAATATGTGGTATCAATTTTCAGACTCTTAGAGTCAAAATTGCGTAAGTCGCATACAAAATTACATCCCCTAGTTGGAGATGTTAGGGGACATAAGTTACAAGTTTTATGTTTTTTTGTTGTTTGTGTACTATTAAATACTAGCTTACATACCAAATTTCAACAAGAAATACCCTTAAAATTTTGATGATCATCAGTGAGTCGGCAACGAAATCACAGTGTTTTAGATATTACTTAAATCTAAAGTATAAGAGCTATGCAATTAAAACTTTATATACCATTTAATAAGTCTGCTATAGACAACATATTCTGAGAATTTTCTTTATTTGGTACAACCCAAACCCAAGTTTTAAAGGTTCAAAACACGACGAAGTGCTTGCTTCGAGAAAAGGTCGACGTAGTGCCCTTGCGCTTCGGTTGGCTCGTCTTGTCGTCTTGGCGGAGGCACTACTATGCCCCAGATTATCTAGAGCATCTTTGTCCATGCTGCATCTACAGTAGTTAACATTGAATAATTCGCAATAACACCTACCACGGGTAGATTTTCCGCCCCTAGGAAAGGCCTCTATAAGATGTAAATAGGCCGATAGTATGGTATTATTACTGGTGTTATTAATAAGTAACGAACTCACATTTATATCACGTCGGTCTTACAGGTTGTAGGTGATTCAAGGCAGGGTATCGTTTTCTGGAACAAAGAAGAAACAATTGATAATTTGATAACACACATTGAGGTAGATAATACCTAGTATTTCAATAAATATTAAATAGTATTTAACTACATACTTATCAATAAAAAAATCATCTAAGTAAAACAGAGGCCGCTGCAAGAAATATTGTACTTTTGAGACCTATGACTTTGTGCTTATTGCCGTAGCAGCTTATGCTGAAGATGGGTCTTTGGTAGTCTTGTGATTGTGACGTGATTGTTAATTAACGCGCTGTGATGTTACGCGATGTCCATTATCCTTAATTCTATTATTCATTTTAATATCCTTAGTTATCATAAAACAAATTTTCCCATCTCGTCTGTATGTTCGCAATAAATCATTAGATCATAATTATGTAATACTAAATGCTGGAAAAAAAACCTAATCTACCTAGATATTTTAATTAATTTTATTTTACTATCTTTTTATTATCCAAAATACTCTGTTTTACGTAGATGCAACATAAACTACAGCATGAATTTCCAATATTATATACTTCCGGGCACATACGTATATCGGCTCACTTAGTGTTATACGTTCCAACGGTCTGTAGCAAAAATATATGTTTATGGTGGGGCAATAATTTTAAAAACACACGAAAATATGGTTAACAAATTAATAAATACAGTAACAACTTATTGCTCAATGTAACATTTATTTTAGCTAGGAACCGTCAACACCTAAAATACTAGGTGGGCCAATAGATATGTCTGGAAGGGTATAGAACAACAACAATTTGGAATATCCAAAATTCAATAGAGATCAGCAATTCTTTAAATAGTGTGTCGCTTGATAAAAACTGATTACGCTCGATTATTTATGCACGTCCAGTCTCTTGACCGAAGCAGGCAGCGGTGAACGGCCTACGCCACAGATTACAGAAAGCGCGTGCGCACCGTCATGGAATCAGAGTAACTGGGCCGTAAAAATATGATTTATCTGTCGACAACTTTTAGTGGCTCAGCAGTTGGTAAAATGATATATTACGCGCTTAGCATTCGAAACATAACAATCTCATACACTCTCATCTCAAACACACAGATATATATATATATATATATATATATATATATATATATATATATATATAAATGTAAGTACTCGCATATTGAGTAACATTCGAATCAAAGTCAAAGTCAAAAATTGTTAATTCAAATTGGAAGCATAATACACCTCTTTTGAATCGTCTATATTTTTTCCCTACCAGAGGTTTTTTTTCTGTGGAGAAAAACGGGCAAATAACTTCACAGCGCCAGAACGCAGTCAACTCGAATTTGGGACACATTTTATCTTATGGGCATTTCAACCACAAAGTCTGTCGATTAAATTCAACGCTTACTGTTTAAATATAAAACAATTGACTGCCCTTTACCAAACGAGTCAACGAGATCTTAATGAACTTCCTCCGGCTAGCGGATCTCCATTCACATAAATCCCAAGCAATAAGTCTTGGCCGCTCCAACTGTTTCCATATTTCATTATTGCAATAAAGAAGATGGGGCGATATCTTCATTACCGGGCGCACAAAATCGATGCCACGATAATTACGGGGCCCTCGCCCGTCTCTCAACCGCCGGACGATGAAATTAATTCCAGATGGATGTTAGAGAAATAGTGCATCCTTTATGTGGGCAACGATATTGATGATGCTAATGGTGCAGGCGGAGAAGGGTTACTGAATCTAACGCAAACAGATAACGAGGAAACACTGGAAGCCAGCCCAAGAGGTACCGTTAGAAAAAAAACAACATCTTATCGCGCCCGATAAAATATTACTTCAAAAACAATAAAAGACTCACCAACACTTAAAAAGTATACGACAAATGCTTATCGTGTAAATATGTTAAAAAAATTGTTAAGTAATAAATTTATGCTGTTGAAGGGATGAGATTGTAAAAAATCCGAACGCCGATATGTTATCGTGGTTCTTAGAAATGGGACAAAAACGACTGACTAAAAGAACGTAACATATTTTAACGACACTGTATGAGACTAGCAAATTATGCATTTCGCACATTCGGGAATTGCGGTTATGTTCTCTATTTATATACACTAAAGGCTTCTTTTAAAATGATAGTTTATAAAGTGGTTAGCCGGCAACTTGCAAAGTTTCCGTAGTTGTACTTTACAAATATTGTCAATGTTTTATTGTTGCTCGGATACCAGACTTGAAGTGTGAAGAATAAGAGAGTCGATGAAAAAAAATTGGAACCCTGACATTAAAAGCATGACAACATATCTGTCAAAGTATAACATTATCTCGGATAATACAGGCAGGAACAATGTTTGTGGAATCAACGCCAAGTCTAGTGTAATCACGAGCGATCCCATAATATCGATGGCCCAGATGTTGAGAAACAAATCATAGCAATTTGGTGAAGCATTATCGCTATATTTTTGTAAAATTACACGTTGCGTGTGCTATGCAGCGTGTGTTTATGTAAAATAAGTGTTCCATTTGGAATGTAGTGAATTTGGTAACATTTTACCTGTTACTTATGCCGCTGGCCAAATTTGGCGATGTAATAACAAATTTTGAAAAACATAGCACGTATGATTAACGTTAATTATATATTCGAATTAAATTTAAGAAAGTATTATTGCGTAAGGTGCTGGATATGCCGAAGATGTAGGCACATGTGTAAGAGAATTCAATAGATCATTAGCAATAAATGAGACAATATTGTCGGCGCTGGTCGTTGGAGATTTGGTATCGGCGATGGGAGTCATTAATCATGCGTCGTCGCATCCGCGCAGACATAAAACACTGAGATTGCGCCGCCCGTAAATATTACATCATCACACCTAGCAGTGGTCCCATTTGATCGTTTATGCCTCAGGTTAAATTCTTCAAGTCAATCCCATATATTTAAGGTATTTATAGAGCCATTAAATGAAAATCGAAACTTTCTCATTAGAAGACCAACAACATTTACAATTTGTTCGTGTCGGTGTCAGTAGCACCATATATGCGATGCAAGCTTTATGTTTATTATATGCACCAGAATCAGTGTTTCTTTCTACTACTTATTATTTATAAGTTGTGCATATATTAATAACATGTTTCGAACAAACGACAATGACTTGTTAAATTTCGAAAGTCTCAGAAATATTTTACTTCAAAATGAATTTCAAATCGTCGATAGTGACAAAAAAAATATGGTTTTTAGGTCATATTTACACATAGGTACTGTAACATGCAATTGCAGACACCGATACATAGACAGTGTAACGCTTTCTCTTCTGAATAAACAATTAGGAGCTACGTTCAGAGCTTGTATACGTCGGGGTTGTTATCACTAACTATTAAAGTTTTAACTCGACATGCATATAAGAGTGATGAACTCGAATCGGAAATAACGAACAATAGCCTACTTTCATATCTCACTATACGGTTCGAGCATTAAAAGCATTCCGCCGCCCGAGGGACGTCGCAACATGCACAGATAAAAAATAATATTAACGAACTCATTCAATTGGGAAATCATGCCCGGTACTCATGATGTCATCTTAAAGCTTAATTTGATAGTCCGTATCATGAACGAAGCGTTTACTTTAAAGAGCTCTCTGAAGTTGTAATAAATTATAGTCTTATTTTATTTTTATCTACAATGAAGTTGTTGACTCTCATTGTGCAACGGTAAGGTTTTATATTATAAAGCTTTCAAGACAAGAGAAATGCGGAACGTATTCTGAAAGCAGTAGATTCTCGTCTTGCGAAAGAAAGTGCGATAATATCTTTAAACTGCCACTCACGATTCGAATTCAAGCATTGGGCGCTCACCACATTCCGCAAATATATTGTATGCTGTTAGCGACAGCAAAAAATTCAAACAGGAAACTTAACAAATATTTAAATAAAGATTGATTGAATAAATTAAGTTAAAATGTACCACTTTGTTTAATTCTGTGCTTCGAAAATTTCTACCTCGTTCTGAATACGTTTTCATTAAGAATACATTGACTATTTTTTTCTTACATAATATTAACGATTTTCCTCCACTCAAATAAGTAGGTATATTTATTTATGAGTACAATATACCTATTGAATTCTTTCAGATTGTTATTGTTGCCAGTGGTCTATACTGATTGGGTGATACGTCGATGGTTCCGCCACCGTAAACGATTGATCCACGTTGTATTGAAACGTCACGTGCGATAGCATCGGCCGATCGTTAGGGGTTCTCGGCCATTACCGTCTGACGGTACGGGAAGTCAGGTCACATTAGTTATTCAATTATGCGAACTCCCAACTATCTGATAGCTATTTCAACGTTTCTAAAGAATCCCAAAGTCATGTCTGTGAAAACGACAATGCCAATCCGTTACAACGCCATTTAAATATGAATAAGTTTTACAATAACAAAAGTTTGAAGGAAAAACTTAATACAAACTTGCGACAAATGGACGTAAATAAAAATTATGATACCATCTCGTGATTTGGTTATACAAATTAGTGATCAATCAATGCTAGGAAAGAACTACAGGACGGTCGGTGTAAAAACCGTCTCACATCGACTCTTCAATCCCGAGTCCGTCGAATAAAGGCTCGTTACGCGCTTGCGCCCACGAATGATGGATAGCCGTAGCAGATCAGCCGGCACGATGCGCACTTGTCTTAACAACTTCTTACATCTGATCTATATGACCTATTCGGAGGGAGGAAGATTCAAAACCGAATGCCTTGCAGAGTCAACAGAACAATTCTTATGTCTAAAATATCCATAGTATGATTGACAAGTCCGTGCCGATGGTATCGGTCGTCATAAATAACACCGCCACTGCTAGTTAGTACATATTCATTGCTCTATCAGCTTGCGAATGATATCAGTATTTCATTGTAAGTGTGTTGTATATATATACGTGTGCATTTTTATAAGGAAGCATGAAATCATCAAAATTAATACAAATTCAAGTATCTGTGTTGATAAAACCGTTCGCTAAAACTTTTCGAACAGATAATACCGATGCTTATGCC